AGGCGTTACAGATAAAACATTTTGATGAAGAAACACCACTAAGTGCATTACACACTTTACCATCTACCATAGTAAGTTGCAAACAATGAGTAATGCGATATTCGCGATCTTCTTCCTTGAAAACAGTAGGCTGCAAGTTCCTTATTTTATCTTTAAAATGAGCTTCTTCCTCAACTGACACTGCAGTCGATTCCTTCAAATATCGGAGGCATATAGGACGACAGTATCGAGTTGATGAAGGACGAGGATTTTTCCACAAAACTACTGAATTTTCTTTGTTATCTGTTGTCAAAACAAGCTGAAGTGGCACATACGAAGTAACAAACAGGCTACTGTCTTCAAGAGTGGAGTCAGAAAAACACTGTTTATATTCTGAATGCCCTGTACTGCCATCGAAACCCCATTTCCCTATCAAAGATATCTTATCTAGAGACTCATTAGGTACACTATCCAAAACATCTTTTTGAGACTTGAGAATCCGATTGGCAGTATGATCTAATAAACTTTGAAGTTCGACTTCGGCGGATGATTCTGTAACAGTAATATCTGAAGGATAACAGTGTTTTTTAGATTCCACGACACTTTGGTAAGATGGGAAAATGGTTTTTGAAAACTTATTGTCTATAAATTTCTTTACTAATATATATTGATGTCGAGTTAACTGAGCTTCAACAATGAGCGATAAAACTTCGCTAGAATCGATTTCAGGACAAGACAAGCTATCGGACGCATTGAGCAATGACTGTACAAGAGAAGGGTCTTGGTTAGACAAACTAGCCAATCTTCTCCTTTTTGTACGTTTACTGGTGTCGTCAAAGTTAATTCTCGGACGGCCATGCGATGAAGAAGTTGATGGTTTAACTTCGTCAAAGCTCTGAGATACACGTAACTCAGTTCGCTGTACATCAATATTTTCAACGACATGCAGCCAATCTGAATATTTTTCTAAGAATTTAGATCTAGTACGATTCGACTTTGCCCAGTAGTGGGAAATTCGTTTACAAATATTCTTAATTTTAAGGCTTAAAGTCTCTAAATCAATATTTTCGATGCCGTCAGAAAGGGATGATGTTTCGGTCAAAGTGCTCAGGACGTGTTGCATTTTTTCATTTGGATTACCCACTTTAGAGTGCCAAATATCAAAAATTGTCATCCTCGATACAGAACATTTGAAAAATGTACCTAAAACAATATGAAAGCTGAACTTAAAAAAAAATTAAAAATTCAATACTATGGACATGCATACTTTGACACCCCTTTAAGCCAAGAAGAGGCAGCAAGATGCAAATGAAACTTATAGCTCTTAATAAGGACATACTCCTTATTCAAAAACCATTATACCTCAGGTGCAGCTCAGCGCAGCCAAAAGTTGTAGGTCTAAAGGAAATTAAGTTATGCCAAAAATTTTCACCAAAAAACTGCCTTCAATAAAAAAATTATATAAAAAAAAGTATGCATAAAAAAAATTAAAAAAAATTGATAATAAAAGTACATACCATGCTCTTGGATCTCCATGCTTTCACAACACGTAAACACTTGATTTGGAATAGTGACACTCAAAAACAAAGTGATTAAGTTTCGATGACTCACACGTGGTGATAATTAGTCTCGCGATGCGCTCACTTCCGATGCACAAAAGTGAATGATAACGTGACCTAATTACATTGATATTTATAGTTTTTGGAAGCTTGTTAACTAGTTACTAACTTAGTGAGTTGATCTAACCGGGATAAGCCAATGATTTTTTTTGATTTATGGCCTATGGGGGAATCACAGTGCAATTGAGTGAACCAGCATAATGAGACCAATCAATGTCTTGAAGTTTATTTGAGCAGCTTTGGAAATCCGTTTTTCGAAAGCAAAGTCTATCACAAAGATCGTTTGGACGCAATAGAGGCTCATTGCTGTGATAGTCAACCTCAAAGGGAGGATGGTGTGAGTCAAGACGACCTATAGGGATAGCACGTCGTAAAGAGAATGCATCTGGATTATTGGTGATTAACAAATCCAACAATCTATTGTTATGATTTGTAATATGGTTCAACTGAGATATATTCATTGAATGGAATAAGTTGTAGAGTAATTCAGATTTTTGGCAACTATTATTTACTGGCGCATTAGTTTCCTTTGACCAGATCACATCGCCCAAATTGAAATCACCCATAATACATGTAGTCTGCCTAGGATTCATTGTCATCACAGAAGCACAACGATTCAAAAAGCTAGAAAAGACTGTAAGTAACAAATAGTCGGGAAGATATACAGTGCATAAGTTTATGATTACATTACTACCGATAGTAATCTGTACCCACAAGTCCTCTACGTAATTTGATTGCCAATCATCCCTAACAATAACACCAAGACGTTTCGAAACTGCCACCAACACGCCGCCACCATGATGCTTATTAAACTGTTTTAAAAACTTGCCGCCTCGGTCTCTACGTATGACTACATATCTGTCATCAAACAACTCAGACGACAGAACAGACTCGTCTAGCCATGTTTCACAAAGACAGATAATCTCATAGTTATTGCTTACAATGGAATTAAAAATGTCAAAAGTCTTACTTTTCATACCTCTTATGTTTTGGTAGTATAAACTGATATTAGCCATTTTAACAGTACAAGTAGCATAAACACAACAAACGTTATGGACAGATTTTATAGTTTTTACTTAATTAGATCTAAACTGTTGACGTTCTTAATATGTATATGTGGAGAGTCCGCAGTTTTCCTCACAAATATACGGCCGTTGCGAATCCAGATGAATTTATAATTAAGATCTCTTACTTTTCTCCTCGCCGCCGCATGTAGATACTTATTGGTAGGAGACAGATGCTCAGATATATATATACCTGTTTTTTGTCGCCCCCAAGTCCAAGTAGGTACTGATATATTAAGTTTATCACTCACATTTGCTTTATTGTACCTATACACAGCAGAATAAAATTTGTCTCGGCATGTAACGCTTCGGAATTTAGCGACAATTGTACGAGGGTGTGTACTGTCCCTGTTCATTTTTGCCTTTCTTGTACAAGTAATCAGGTCCTCTTCCTTCATCCCAGACCCAATCACAGAAGAACACTGCTTTATGAGATTTATCAAATTCTCATTATGATATTCAGGGACACCGTGGATCTCCAAATTATTTTATCGTACGCATTGTTCAGTGTTGTTAAGGCGTTCGGAAAGATCCCTTACAGACGCTTCCAATAAGGCACAATCTTTTTTTAGTAAAACATTTTCACTGCTTAAACCACACAGTTCGTTTTTCATCTCTTCGTGTTTAGCATTGAAAAAGTCCAAGGATGTGCGAAAATCTTGAAGCTCATTTTTTATTGGTAAAAGTTCCTGCTGTAGTACCGTCGTCAGCATTACAGGTATCTCAGATTTAATTGCAGTTAGTACTCTCTCGCAAATAGTAGATACGATAGCTTCATCATAATTAGAGGGCGGGCCACTGGTGTCACGGCGACGCCCAAGATTAGAACCACGGACAGTTACGTTATCGACATTCATGTCGATTTCATCACTACCCACGGGCGACTGTTCAGACACAGTAGCGTGTAGCGCCCGAACAGGCGTGTCAACGTTGCTCAATTTAGGCTGTTTGTTCCTGCACTCAAAACACACCCAAAGACTTTTGTGTTTCTTTGTCATAGTCTTTCGAAAACTAGCTACCGGCACGCTAGCGCACTCGAGGTCGTATACACTTGCGCATTCAGAGCATTTTAAATATTCTTCTGTCGTCATTTTCTTGCAACATCCACCGCAAGTAAATACAATAGTAGGTGGCATTTCGAATAATATCTTCTTAGAGATCCTCCAATGTCCAACGGCAGATAATACTTCTACGATGTTTAGTATTTACACATTCGTATAAAAGCTAGAGCGTACCGCTCGTAGCAACCAATGACGCAGTTGTAACCCGTCCTCGTAGACGTGCTACGCTAGCCAGTATTGGATGTACTACACTATTTCTCCACACAGCCACTATCGCTTGGTAGCTCTGTGGTTAAACGCTCCGACTGCGACGACGCTGACCCCGGATCGATTCTCACCGTTTGACAGGCCTCGCCAAAGATTGTTTTTTCGGTGTCCTCGCTGAATGATAAGCCACACGCAACTTTAGTCACAGCCGCAGCACCAACACATCCGCCCAGCACAGATGACAGAGGATGATGAGAGAGGTCCGACTCTTTCCAAGATGGCCGCCACCGCATATGGAGAGCACAGCAAGTTGAAACAGGAGCCACCGATTTCCGAGGAACTAATTGAGCGAGAGGTCCGAGCAATAGCAAGTATGGCCGCCACAGTTAACGGCAAAAAGCCAGAGCAAGAGCAGGAGCCACCGATGTTGGGCGAAAACCACAACGTCACACTGCACTATACGACGTAAGAAACGCAAAAACAAATAAACATTCACTCGCGACAGGTCCGCTCAGTACGGAATCCAAGAAACGAAACGATAATGATGGTAATGAGCACCCCCAAATACCCCGAAAATTATACCCATATTGCATTTTTTGAAAAATCGTGTCCGCCATCTTGCTTTTACAAATAAGTGCTATATTCGTAACGAGCACCCCCAAGTATCATGAAAATGATACGCAACTTGCCATTATTTGAGAAATCGTGCCCGCCATCTGGTATTTAGAAATGCTAAAAGTCGTGTCAGCCATCATGTATGCAGATATAAATGCCATTTCCAGAAGGATTACCAAAAATAAATTTTTGAAAATTCTTGGCAGACATCTTGGATTTAGAAATTAATGCCACATTCTCAATAAGCACTCCCAAACAACACGGAAACGTCTCTATAACTTTCATTGTCGATCGACAATGTCGATTATGTCTGTAGGTTCCCAATTGACATTGTCGATCGACACTGACGATCGACATCGATCGTCAATGTCGATCGTATCTGTAGGCACCTTTAACCGGTCATTGAATCTGTTCTCGTCATTTATTATTTGACAGAAAAATCATTCACTCCTGTTTTCTCTATCTCAGTGCTCCCAGCCAAAATGATTTGACGTGACTGTCAAAAAATTGCAAATAAAAATGTCAGCTGCCCCTCTGTCGACAAGTTATTTATTTCGGAAATGTAATTAAATTTCAACCAAAAGAATCTTAATAATGTTTACTAATCGAGTAATTGTGGAAGTAATGGTATAGGGTGGATGTGATGATTACTCAATATCTTACATACAATAGCCTTACTTGCTTAGATGTGAAAGCGAACAAACAGTGTCAGATAGAGACCATACACTAAATTCTGCGAACGTCCAAGCTGCCCCAATGCCTTTTAGCATCAGAAAGCGCAAGGCAACATGTATCACATGTTGTCAGAATTCCAGGCGTCAGAATTCGATTCCATTTCGGATGTGTTGTCGTTGAATCCCGAGGATCCACTAGACACTTTTGGCGAAATGTGGTACTCAATGTTGTTATGGTGTTTATTCTCTTCAGTATTCGTGCATACGTGCGCGGCTCTCGTATCATTCGCGACGCTGAGGAAGCATAAATATGGAAAGTTTTTCCCTGTCCTACTGATAGTATATGGTGTGGTGACCCCAGTGACTTCGGGTATCGCGAGTAGTGCCGCTGTCGCGTTCATATACAGAGCAGCCCATATAGTCATGCCTGCGCCACACGCGCTCATCTGGGGGATTGGACAAACTGTACTTGGGGCTGGAATAGGTTTCACTAGGATTTTGGCAACTTTGTAATGTAAATGTAATCATGACTAGGATAATTAAGTAGCTAATTATAACTCTGTAACTACCTTCAATATAATGTAGTCCACAAGAGAAAATTGAAAGTCAATTATATAAAAAATATTCTATGTAATCTGAATGAAATGGGTAAGGTGCTTATGTGTATATTGAGACAACATTGTTGTAAACTAAATTATTGCATATAGACTTCAATGGAATACTCATTAGACCTCCCTGATTCATTCATTTGTTTATCAGCTATCATATAATCTTTTCAGTACCCACATAATTTTAAGGTTACTTATGTGTTAAATATGTATTTAAGAAATTTTATGTTATTGGTTTAAATATATTGTGTAAATTATTTTAATGATTAATTTGTAGACATGACTATGGCCTAGAATCAGTAGAAGTGTTAAACACAAATGTATGTACATTGAAATGTAATTAGTACAATAATTAACATGAGATTGTGTGAGTAAGGCACAAAGAACACTTTTAGGTTGTTTAGAGTCTTCTATTTTTATAAACAGTTTCTATAAAAGACAAAACATTCCAAGTACTTTTTACTATCCTAATTAACATAGTTTAAACTTCTACTGATTCAAGCATTTTGTATTGAAAAATCAAAACAACTCCTAATTGCACATATTTAAGAAAAAATTGACTACAATAAAATGCACCAGATGGAGATTTGTAATTAGAAGATTATAATGACATGTAAAATATTGAGGTAATTTTAAGAGAAAAATGCACAGGACAATATTATTCCTGTAAAAATAACACCAAAAATTGCTCAGTTTCATTTAACTATTTCTTTTAGACCCACCGATAGCAATATTAAACACCTGCAATAAATTATTTTAAATTAAGAATTTGGCTAAGTATTCTTTATTTTTCATTTGATTTTGTAGACTTGCACAAAATGTATACTTCTTCATTTTATATAATGTAATGCCTGTTGTACTTATGAATTCAATAACAACTTATCAAAATGGCATTGATTAATTTTCCATTTCATACATTATATCTTCCAGTACTGTACAATGATCATAGTTAATTTTGAAGGTGTAATGTGTCATTATTGATAACAGCTTTAGATCTATTATTTATGTACAGTTGTATATTCAACAGAACTAGGGTTTTGTGTTGTCCATATTTAGATAAAATGGTTTTAATAAGCATCTTTGTTACGGAAGAATAATTTTTCCATATTTATTTAAAGATAATAATAAACAATTTGAATTTTATAAAGTAACTTTTGTTCCTATATTTCAAACCTGAAAACCCCAAAATAAGCAAACAATTACATTGTATTTTCATATATTTTTAATCTAGATATTGTCAATATAATTGCAAAGTTGCCTTCAAATAAAAGCAGCAAACAAATTTTTTCAGTGAAATCAGTAATTTTTAGTTACAATAATAATGGTACTGAAACATGATAACAGATGTGCATGAATTAGAGAACTTAATAAACTTGTAAAAGGTAATAAATACCATATAAAAAATTTTAGTAATCACATACATTCAATAAACTCATTTTATAGTTCTTCAACAATTTCAAAGTGTACTACTATGGCTATACTTTGAAATTTTTTTACAAACTTCAAAATACCGTGAACTATCTCCATCCTCTTCATGGCTTATTTCATGAACAGATTCTTCCAACCTTAAAGGCAAGTGAAGTTCTTCTCTGGTCAAGGATGACTGGAAAGAAAAAAGTAATTAAAAATTGCTTCGCAGTCCTTCACTGCGAACATTCACTTGTAAGGTAACAGTTCATAAGTGAGCATTACAGTAGTGAGGGAGGAGAACTGAACATTTGTTGCGCAACACTTGTAACATTCGGTACCCTCCTTTGCCAGGAGCATTCGCCCGTAATATAACAATCTGTTAAGATTGTAAGGCGTGCCTTTGCCAATCAAAGGCATTCGCACACACTCAGAGGCACTCGCACACTCGCCTTGCTACCTCGTCATCTCTGGTGGAATCGCAGCCTAATCGAATCTTGGATGTTACATTACAGGTGAATGCTCGTCGATGAAGGAGGTAGTTTGTAATGTAATGTTTGAAAACGAATCTTGATTGTTACATTACAGGCTAATGTTTGTGTTGAGGAAATGCCCTAAGATTTAAATCAAACAAATTCATTAATCAGAAAACAAATGTAAAATTGGAATTAACCTCATGAACTTCCGACTCTTCCCTTCTGTTGAAATGATCAACTCTTTCTTTCAATGATTTCGTTTCAGAAGTAGCGTCTTGTAAGGCTAATTTTAATTCTACAATTTCTCTTCTTGCATTTGATAACAATGTTTCTGTTGTTATTAATTTTTGTTGCAGTTTTTCGTATTCTACAGACAATTTAGATTTAGCATCCATCAAATTTCTAATTTTATTTTCGTATAGTTTAATTTCTGTTTCATTATCCCCAATTCCCGCAGACATTGTTGCATTTTCGTCGTTTAAGTTATTACACATCTTTTTCAAGTAGGACACATTTTGCTCCAAAATGGTTTTCTCTTCATTAACCAATTTTATCTCGTTTTCGAGGGCTGTTATTTTACATGTCATTGTAGCTATTCTTGTAGATTGACTTTCGATTATATTTTCTTTATCTACCAGTTTTGATTCCAAAATTTCTATTTTACTGATATAACTTTGTAATTGAGCTGATTTTGAAGCAGATTCACTTTCTAATGACTGATTAGTATTTTCTAAAATATTTGCTTCAACTGAGAGACTAGCAAATTGTTCCAGCATATCAGATCTTTCTGCTTCTTTATGTGACAACATTTCTTCAATTCTCCTTATTTCAGCAACATAATGTTGTAGTTGATGTTTTAATCCTTCTACTTCCTTTCTAGATTTATCATATTCAATTTTTGTTATTTTAAGTGTTCCATTGACATCACCTAAACTATTTTGTAAGTGTTTGTTTTCCATTATAGCTGCTTCGAGTTTTTGGTTTAACCTTAAGATTTCACCATTCAAAAAGGCAATTTGAGATTCACTGTCCGCTAACTTGTGTTCTGTTACTTTATTTAAGTTCAGTTTCCTTTGAATTTCTGATAGTTCACTCTCCAGTCTGCTCACTTCATGCGATTTCGATTTTAGTTTATGCTCCAGAGTACTAATTGTTTCAGCTTTATTATCTAGTTCAATTACCAATTTGTCTCGTTCTTTATCAATTTTTTTGATGCTGTCAATTAAATTTGATTTATCATTTTTCAGTGTAGTTATTTCAGATTGTAATTCTTTACATTTCCTTTCTAATGTATCCATAGTAGCTTTTGATAAGTTAAGTTTCTTTTGGACAGATAAAAGTTCATTCTGCACCTCATTACTGCCTCTTTCTGTTTCTAATTGTAAATTTTTAATTTGACTAGCCAAAGTCTTCTCTTTAACAATGTCACTTTGCATCTGTATAATCTGTTCTCTCAAAAAACTACATTCGTCTTTTAAATGATCAGCTGATGCTTTTCCAGTCCTACTGGTCATTTTGTAAGAACAATTCTCTTCTTGTAACTTTTCAATCTCTTTCTGTTTGCATGCTAAATCTCTTTTTAATTTATCAGTAAGATCAAGAGCTTCCTTGTATCTATAATTATACTCTTTTTTGTCTTTCTTTAGTATCTGGATTTCATAAGTAAGCTTTTCTATTTCATCTTTTAGCACTTGGACATCTTTCTTGTAAGTGTCACCCGCATCATAACGTACTCCTGTTTTGTACTGGTTCAGCTTTTGACTTAATAAAATATTCTCCTGAGATAACTCAGCATTTTCAGCATTTAATTGACTAATCACGTCTTTATAGTTTTCCTTAGAGCATATTTCTTGAGAGGATCTTGCCATTTTGAGTTCATCATTTTCTTTTTTCAGCATAAGTATTTTTTGTTCACTAACACATAATTTCTGATGCAAGTCCTTAACAAACTTACTTTCAGTTGAGGTTTTGGGGCTAATGTTTTTCTCTTTACATCTAGTGAGGTGCTTATTAAACAAGTTTATTGTTTCATTAAGCTTATCTTGAATTTCTACTACATGTTTTTCATACTTTTTTCTTTCATCTTCAAGTAATTTTTGCAGCTCGTGTTTAGTTGGAAAAGTTTGCTCATAAGTCTTGTGAGTAGTTGCCTCAGACAACAGTTTTATTTTGTCTTGTAAATTTATAACTGTTTCTGACAAACTACTGATTTCATACTGCAAGGTTTCCTTTTCTTTCATGAGTGTACTAATCTTCTCCTGTAATATTGCTGATTCTGGTGAAGATTCTTTCTTACCAGAAATATTCATTTCTAATTCTAAATTCTTCTTACTGAGACTGTCTATTTTAATTTGCAGTCGATTCACTTCATTCATCAACGTGCCTAATCGATTGTTACAATCTTCCTCCACCTTCAAAGCTAAGGCATCCACCTTTTGTAATTCCTCTTGTAATTTTTTATTCTTCTCTGCCAAATGTAGGGCTCTCAACATAGCTTCATGTTGCTTTTCCAATCCATTATCTATTTCCTTCTTTAATTGATCATTCGAAATTTCCATATCAAGCAATTGTCTAGTTAATTCCTGGACTTTATTTTCTATGGTTCTATTACAACAATCTCTATTGATTGATGTTACAGGCCTACCTCCCTCCAAGAGCATATTTAACCGCACAATTTCTTTATCTCTATGCTCTAGTTGCTTTTTCAAAAGAGATATTTCATCACAGTAAATTTCTATTTTTTCCTCTAATAAATGTATAGCTTTTGAAAGACTGGTGTCTCTTTCCATTGTTGTGTCATTATAGATACATGTTTTAGGTGGTTGTGGTGGTTGATGATCTCCGGCATCTTTCCTTTTACTTCTGTTGCGACTACTTTGAGTGTCAGCACACAATCCTCGCAGACTTAAGTCTCTCACCTCGTATTGAAGCTTAGTAATCATATTATCCTTCTTAACTAATTCTTCAGAAAGGGACTTTATCTTCCTTTTACTATCTCTTATAAGCTTCTCATTTTCTTCTTTCAAATTTATAAGTTCGCGATGAAGCTGATTATTTTCCTGAATAAGCTTAGCGTTCTCACATCGATACGGTTCTGCCTCCCTTAGTAAAGAATCGCGCTGTTTGAGCGCATCTTTCGATAAGTCCATGTAATGTTGTAGACTGCGGGTGGTTTGTAGCAGATCTGCGACCATACATTCTACTAAAGGAACGGCGTCTACAGGCAAAACGTGATTGTAGCCCAGTTCCTCCAACTTCAATTTTAAACTGAAATAATCCTCGGCCATCGTGACAAAATTTTATTAACCCTTTGGAAAATTGTACTAGGTATCCGTCAACTTGCTTTCTTACAAAGTTTCCTAAATGGTTCTCGTTATGTTGATCTACATTTTTGTGTTTTCGCTCAAAACAATTTACCACCATTACGGTTACACACCACTTCAAAGGGATAATTTTGACATATAGTCAAAAAGTCAAACAACGGGACGTCAAACTTTCAGCAATAGTGCTGCTTGCATGTATCAAAGTACTCAGGGTCGTATTCTAGAACTCTACTCAATGCTCAAGTCAGGATTGTACTGGCAACACAAGCACTGGAAATACGACCTTAATGGCAAGGACTTGAGTATGATTTTCAGGGTTCCATTGCAATCCTGACTTGAGCATTGAGTAGAGTTCTAGAATACGACCCTCAAGTGCTTTAAATCATACTCAAGTCCTGACTTGAGCATTGAGTAGAGTTCTGGAATACGACCCTGTGAGTGCTGCCTTAGAGCATATAGGACTGGAGGCTTCATCGATAGGCAATCTCCTCTGTCAAGGTACTACATACAAATACACAAAACAAATATCGCAAAATAAACACTACTTTCAAATCGATGTTTTTTCACTTCCATTATCGAATTCACCGCGTCAAGTACTCCACGAAACATGTCGTCTTGGGCTATATAAACTTGCAAAAAAATCTCTGCTGCATCCAGTCTAGTCAAGGGTGGAATTATATTCCATATTTTTTACATTAATTGCTAATTTTCTATTTTATGACATTTTTTTCACAATGATCACATTGATTCACTTTATCGATTACAAAAAAAATATTTGAAAACATTCGAATATTTGACATAAGCATGCCTATGAAGTTCCCTATTTACTAACAGGCAACTATCACAGACATATATCTAGATACTAGACGCCGCGCGAAGTGTACATACTTTGCGTGCCCAAAGTAAGTGAAACTCACTTACTTGCCGCTGCTACATCTTATCGTAGATAAACACCAGTCGAAAACCCGAAAAATGCAAAATTGTGCCATTTTAAACTCAAAAGCACCATAACTGTGGGTAAACGGGTAAACGGGACGTTTCCTTCCACGGGCAAGTGATGTTGTAATCAGAAGGTACATAATTTATTTTAAAAACAATTATTTTGAATTTGTACGTATTTCGAGGAAACAAATATGCAACCGAGTGTATGCCTCTGTATTTGTAATACATTGCGACTTTTACTTGGTGCGATATATTTGTGATCCTTTGTTAATACGCCATGAATATCGAACGAACGCACTTTTGCATAATGCATTCTGTGATACGTTATACGGTCGCTTGTACATTTTTTTTGGCCAAATTTAACATTTAGTTTTAGTTCTGTTTTTAGTATGTAGATGTATAAGTTACACAACACTGTTCTCGATTCTGATCGATTTTGAAAACAAAGGGACGAAAATTATTATGACCGAAGACCGAATGAAGAATTACAATATTATAAAAACTCTTTTGTTATAAAGTTTCTTTTTTTTTTCATTTTTGTAGTATCTATTATCAGTAGTATCTGTAATTTCGATAATTTTTGCAGCACGTTGCCTCGAATGTCCGAATATAGTGAGACAATAATTACATATTAATTATTACTATGTAATTAACGAATAATACAAAAAAATATATACTGCAAAGTCAAAGTCAAAGATTATTTATTTCATAGGTAGAATAAATTTACACTTGAAAACGTCACATTTAAGCTACTGCTCGTTCACTACGCTGACCTCCCTGAGAAGAACTAGCAAGAAACTTTAGGAATTGCTGTTTTCAAAAAAACTTAAATGCTATGGAATACACTTTGAATCAAATTTGTGTGGATTCTGGAGCCGTGTTGTCTTACCATACATCTTTATCTAACACGTAGTCTTCAATTATGTTATATGACTTTTCGATCAAAATATTTTTAATGTAGTTTTTAAACTTAGGAAATGATAAACTTAATATATGCTCCGGAATCTTATTTTAAAAACGTCTACAGTTCCCCATAAAAGAGTTGTTTATCTTGGTTAAACGAAATCGTGGTACCATGAGTTTGGTCTTAG